ATAATAGGTGGGAAGAAGTATGCATTTTCACACAATCTATGTAGCAATGCAACAACATAAAAATGGGAGTCACTTTATTATAATTCTGTTTCACATAACTGTGGCAATTTGTTTGCAAAAAAAGAGGTCTGTCTGTTTGAGCATATTCAAAAATAAGAGATGACTCGATAAATCCAAATGTGCTCTGCGTGTGGGCAGCAGCATTATCTAGAGAGCCTTTGACTTAGGAAAGCACCAGAGGAGGCAACCAACTCTCCCTTCTGCTGCTGTCCCTACTCTACCCCTTTTAGTTTTCCTGCAATCTGTCAATCCACAATCTCACGAGCAGTGTAAGAGAAGGTCCATCTGCACCAGCATGAAGGATTTTCATTAAAACAAACATCCTACTCTAGTTTGTTATGTGAAAAGGAGCTCTCTTTTTTTGTATATGACTTTTTCATGTAATTATTAAATATTGTTTTTTTTATGATATAAGTTGATTTTTGTAATGTAGTGAAAAGATCCTAAGTCAGGGAAAGAGAAAATTATCTTTGTTGATCTGATCCTGGAACTGGTGAAGGGTCTGACATTTATGTCAAGATATGTGGACTTTAAGGTGCTATTGTCAGGAAAAGATGTCCAAAATCTGAAACCTCTGAAAATAAACAAAATATACTATAAATTCCTCTTTCTTTTTCTTATTCATAAAATAAGGGGCTACATTCATGTGTCATTTTGTATGAATTAAAAATAAATATAATCAGAACATCTTCTTTCTCTTAAGAGTCTATGCTGATGACCAGGCTGAAAACTACTTCTGCACGTCACTTAGTAAACTTGACTTCCTTAAAATAAACACAACAGCTAAAATGATGTCACTGCTTCCACAGTGCTAATTAACAGGAAAAAAAAAAAAAACTTAGTTCTTTTTTTTTTTGAGATATCTCCAATAATATTATTAGAGTACAAGGAAACAGAGGGAAAAAGTAAAATAACACTTCCCCACCTTACAAACAATGGATAGCTTATGTGCTATTTTAAAAATCAGGGAGATTCTGGCAAGACAGCCAACTAGAGCCATCACTTGTTGGACTGTGCTGGACAGAAGGCAGGATATCAGATAGAGGAGAGGGGAAGAGATTCGAAGCTCAGGTGAGGATCATAGAGAGCGATGTCACAGACGGCTTGGGACCCCACAGGAAAAAAAACTGCAGAGCTGAGAAGGAAGAACTTACAGAGGAGAAGATATCAGCAAGGATACAACCCAGAGGGGCTCAGAACCCAGTGAAAGGTAAGGGGGGATTCTCCTCACCCTCATATACCTTTGCTGAACAGCAGGACACCAACTTTACCGAAGGCTTTTACACCCTCCATGAGTATAGGCGGAGCAGCAAATGCAGAATAGTGGAGTGAGCTAGCAATCCCCAGGAGTTTGGGCAGTCCATGAGGGGCACCCCCTGGGAGAGTGCCAGGAGAGGCTGGAGCGCCGGCTTTCTCCCATCCAGACACTTCCTCTGCTACACCTCCCCCACCCACTGCAACCCAAAAAGCAGATTGAGCTCAGCTGACCGGGAGCTGTGGCCCCTCCCCGACGCATTACAACTGCAAGTGTAGTTTGAGCCAAGAAGTTCGCCAACGGCCACTTCTCTCTGGTGGGCGAGCATCCCAGTCTGAGGTGTCTGCAGCGAGTGAGACCCACACCTCTTCCC